GTGAAGCTGAAGCGAGTGAATGAGCTCAGCAGTCCTCGTCTGCATAAATAGAGGTTAAAAAAGAGAGTGAGAGTGAGGGAGAGGGAGAGGGGCATACGGAGAATATTTATCAGAAAAATGAGCCAAAGAGATTTTGTCTGTACCTGTTTGAAATATCGGAGGTCCTTCTACTGCATTAGCACTAAAGAGAGTAGACTGTGTTGGTATAAACCCTTGCAGTGTGAGCTAAAGTTAAGTTGTATTTGATTTTACTTTTTTCATTTGTACAACAGAAACTAATGAGACCCTGCTATTTGTCTTTATAGTTCAGCAGCAGCAGTAGCAGTAAGAAACAGTAGCAGCAGCACTAGCAGGGAGCAGCAGTGGTAGCAGATATCACCAGCTGTTGACTGCAGCATAGCAGTCAACAGAAGTCGTAGTGTAAACGTTAAGCAGCAGCGACAGCAGCAGTGGATTAGATAGTAGGACTGGGCGACATGAGGATATACATCACTAATAATATAAAAAAGCCTATGTCTATGTTGTTCTAAATATTGTATCAACCAGAGGTCTAACTATTTTATGGCAATATTTGCCACAGTATGCCACTCGCTGGTCCCCAGCTACAGTACAGGCATTACATTGTCATTAACCAGCACAACGTGCCTTTTTGTTTTCTTGACATTAAGCGGACTGCAGACTACTGCACACAGACTGTGTTAACACTGTGTTTAGTCTGTCGGCACTGTCATTAACAGGCAAATGAAGAAATGTGTGGACAAGCACACCACCCACAGATAACACAGATAATAATGTGATATACTGTATATGGACGTTTGAGGCTATCACGTGACATGTTCATTTGAAAAACTACTGTTTACACCTAACCTTGGTTATGATAACCAATGTGTATGGTCAGCACTCAGGTAGATCAGCCAATCAGCAGCCGATCTGGATGCTACCAATGACTTAATGTTCCTGGCTGAACGTATGACAGAAGGCTCTTACTGCATCGAAAAGACGCAAAATAAAAAAACTGTGCCTAATGTAGACGTTATAAACTCAGACAGAGTACAATGTTTGAGTATAAATGTATTTTCAGGAGGCAGATTTCATTCCTATGTTTATGTAGAGCCTCTCTACATCTTTTGAACGTCAGTGGAAACGCAGTACACTGTGTTTTCTTTATTTATGTAAAAGTTATAATTTCCAGTACATTTTTTTTTTATATAACACACGTGCACACGCACACAGAAAAAAACACATTTCTGGTAGAAACCTCAGAGCTGAAACCAAACTCCCCTAAAGATCATTCAGGCAGCAGAAACAATATAAATGCAGAACAGCTTGTAGAAAATGGACAGAGTGATAGAAAAAAACGAAACATGGAGGCTTTGTGTGTGTGTGTGTGTGTGTGTGCATGAGCGTGCACACCGATATCATCGGCCGTCTGGCAGACTGCAGTGTTATTTTCAGCACTTATTCAGATTGTTTTCCAGCTCTCTTTCTGTGGTGTCTGACTCTATTATTTAGCCTACCCGTCTATTTTCGGCAGAGAGTGACGCTTTACTGCTCAGCGCCGGCTCGGCTTTTGGGGCTGGGTCACCGAGCAGGAACGAATCCGCCCTTCACACCCCGAAATCTCATCTCACTGAGACGAACGGAGGTGTGTTAACACCCCCTCTGTTTCCATCTACCTTTCTTTTTTTCCTCCAGTTCCTCCCACTGTTCATCCCTTCGCCTCCTCGCCTTTTCTCCTCTTTCTTTTCTTGCATCGTTTGCTATTTTCCTCTCCTCCCCTCATTTTCTTCCCCTCATTTTCTTCCCCTTCCTTCTTTCACTTTCTACATTTCCTCATCTGTCTTATTTTTCTTCATTCTGGTCCTCTCTTTATTTCCCGCCACATCCTCTTGTTTCTCTCCTCCATCTCCTCCTCCTTTTCTTCCTCCCTCTCATCCTTTTTTCCCTTATTTATCCCTCCTCCTCCTCATGTCTTTGTTTTCATCATATCTTATAGTGTGAAATGTGAGTGTGTGTGTGTGTGTGTTCAATGACGCTTTATTGACATGTACAGACATGTCGGAGGCATTTAGACTCTGTGGAGAGTCACAACCTTTGACCCCAGGGACAGATTGGATTTTTCTCAGTTTATGATGGAGGAGAGGAGACAAGTGGAGGAGCTGAGGACACTGACAGTTTGGTTTCAGATCATCAGTTTTCAGTTGGGACTCGTTATTTTTGTTGAATGACGACATCTTTATACAACCCCCCCCCCATCATCAGTTCAACACTAAAATGTAAGACAACTCATCAGCTGTGTGTGTGTGTGTGCGTGTTACATTGATCATTGCTATTCTTTCTGCCTTGGGGACTGTTCTCTGTAGTTGTATAATTAGTGGAAACTTCAAAAGAAGAACTACTGTTGATCACACGCATCACTCCCCTCTCCAGAGGAACTCCAGGCCTTTTTCTCAATCTGCGTTCCCCTCCGTTCTCGCGGACTTGTTAAGGATCCCCGACCCGTGTGATTATTCCGCCAGGAACGGTCGGGAAAGCGGTTTTCCTCGGCAAGTTTTGTCGAGGACATTACGGGAGCTTACTTCAGCATTCGTATGAAATATACATACGGGGAAAAATGCGCGTTAATTCGTTGATATCCCATGAAATGGTTTAGTATGTCATCCACGTAATCATGAACGAGGAAGTAAAAAGAATGCTAAAGCACACACAGGGGTCCAGCAACCAGCCATCTTTCAGGAAGGAGGCCACTGTTTGGTTCCTCACGTGGAACCAAAAGTCAATGTTGATGTTTTTGTGACGTAACTTGCGTTCTGTAGTTCTCATGGTTATTTTAGCTCAAACGACGATCTTCTCCTAAACCTAAGTTGTTTTGTTGCCTGAACCTAACTGTGATTCCTGTGAAGACAGAAGTTTATTTAGAAAAGAACGTACGCATGTAACGAGTGTTGCTGGTCTTTCACAGGAAAATACAGAAAACAATTAGGAGAAACTTTCACACAGACTGTGTTATGGTCGGTTTATCCTGGACCCAAACGCAGACACCGGGACAGCAGAGTCGGTGAAAAAAGGGTTTTATTTGGCTTGTCTGTGGAGCCGGTGGAACATGCAGGTGAAGCATGCAGGTGGAGCAACGAGGCGGTGTGTGCATTAGGGTCAAATATGCGGTCAATTTATCAACAACAAATGCCTACTTTGAATGTCCAATGTCGGGTTTTACACAGGCGGCAACCACCGGTTCTACCGAGTGAAGCCAATGCGGAAGTGTCTTAAACCTGCATTCTCTCTACTGACCAGCAGGGGGCAACTCCTCCAGATGCAAAAAGAAGTCAGATTGTATAGAAGTCTATGAGAAAATGACTCTACTTCTCTCTTGATTTATTACCTCAGTAAACATTGTAACCATGAGTGTATGGTCTCAATCTCTAGTTTCAAGTCTTCTTCAATACAGCATGATGTTCATTTTGTAAATTATGGTCCATTTAGAGTCAAATAGACCATAAAGCAGAGTATGCTTTAGGGCGGGGCTTCTGTGATTGACAGGTCGCTATCAGAGCCGTATAGGGCGTCTATATGTCACTCCTCCGCATTCCAAATATGGTGATTTCAGTTCATTGGCTGCAAAAAAAACATGTTGGCGGCCATAATCCAAGATCCAGCGAAACCGCCACACTGGCGGCTTCAAAACGGCAGTTCACAAACCAATGGGTGACGTTACAATGACTACGCCCACTCCTTATATACAGGCTATGGTTTTATACTGACTTCTGTATAGCATGTTGATCATGAGCATTTTGATAATGTTAATGATAATTTGAGAGTTGTTGCTGCAGAACTGGTTGGTCGGATGTTTTATTTAGTAGCTATAGCTCTGCGTGCCTTCATATATGTCTAGATCTCACCACACACATGCATTGGTGTTGCAAACACACATTACAGTGTTGGAAACTGTTGCTTGTGTCATCATGGATGCTGTTGTCCCAGTTGCGAGTCACGCATTCTTGCAAGTTTGTACCGATGGGTTTAACTTTCCAAGCTGGAAGTTGACGTTCTCGTTATTGAGACAGACCTACACCTTTCCGGCTGTCTTACGAGGTTCCTTCAAAGTTCCACTCTTATTGGTTCTATCAGTGTCAGTGGCATCTGTCAAAGCGGTTCTTACAGAGGTCCATGGAAGGAAAGGCCGCTAAGCAGCAGCTTAGCGCCACAGCAATGTTTTACCATTGGTCAAAAAGAATGTCAATCAAAAGACTTTCTATGAAAGGTGATCCACAACAAAACCATGGAATAATGTAAGCAAGCATAAAGCGGATCAACAGGCACGTCACGATCGAAGATGTTCATTTCGTTTTCATTTTCATTCTTAAGTGCTAGAAAAACATTTACATATTCAGGGAAATATGTCTGTCATTTGTGCTTTAACTTATTTGGGAATGAATTTAAATGAGTCTATAAAAACAGTCTTTCCAAGACCCCATACATCAACTTCTCAAAGGAAAGAAAATCCTGATTTTAACATATTTCAATGTTTGAATGAATCACATTGTTCTGAGTTTTGAATAAATATGAGGAGGCAGCGGTGTTTACGTTCAGGTGATTGATATCTGCTGATTGATGACTAAAGTCTTCAGATGCTCTGCCACTTCTTTTTCTTGCCTGTGATCTTCTTTACCGCTCTTCTTCCTCCTTTTCTTCCTTCTTGTCTCTTCCACGTCTCCTTATCTGCACATCTCATCCGTCATTTGCTCCTTTTTTGTTTTTTCTTTTGCTCTGCCTCCCGCAACCTCCCCCCTCCGCCTCCACCTCCTCGTCCCTGCTTCTCCCCCCTCTCTCCCTTCCCCCCTCCCTCCCTTCCCTCCCTCTCCCCTGGATGAACCCGTAAACAGAGGCCACGTCCACTCAGTATAGACCTGCCCACACACCTCCTCCTGCTCCTCGCCCTCCTCCTGCTCCTTCTGGCTCCCCCTTGACTTACTACTCCTCCTCCTCTGATCCCCCACCAGTGTCCCCCAGCCCGGGCGTTGCCCTCCCCTCTGCCCCCCGCGACCTGGTCCCTGTCCTAGTGTCCAGTCGATTTGTCCGACTCAGCTGGCGCCCCCCGGAGGAGACCGGAGGGATCGTGCAGACCTACGGCATTTACTACTCCCAGGACGGAGTCGAGAGGTAAGACAGACATTTATTCTCTTGGACTCTGTACAGTCGGACATGGATTCTGACTCTAAGGAAGCAGATTCCAACCGGGAGGTTCGGGAAAACCCACAAACCTCTGTCTACTTTTTCACACTTTCTATTGTATTTTTTCTTGTGAATGTATTAGATATGCTGGTATTTGATCAAAAGCCAAAGAACTGGATGTATTCAAAATTTGACCAAATATCACGGCAATCTATTCATCTGTTGCGAAATTTTGCTGAAAACTACAAACGTGAGCCTCTTGGTGGGGCTCGAGGAAAAGTCAGGGGATCCCAAACGTCATTGGGATCCGTCCTGTGGGAACCGTCCTGTGGGAACCGTCCTGTGGGAACCATGAATTGCTCGTTTCATGGAAATCCATCCGATAGTTGAAATATTTCTATCCGGACCAAAGTGAAGGACCGACAGACCAATCTAGCTGAAAGACTAATCGCCATCCATAGAGCCACATCGGTAGCACGCCATGGTTGCGGAGCTGTGTGAACCAAAATACTGTATAACATAAACGTCTGTTGTTGACTCAAAAAGGCACAAAGGACTCACTAACAGAATGTTTAAGACAACACTTTTTCCACTTGATCACAGCTCTGGTGCACACGGCAACTCTGAGCGTTCTGCACTAAAAGCTCTGTGTGACATATTGGCGAGTCCCCCGCTGATGCTAAATGGTAACCTCTGACAGTCGGGGGCTCCAGCTGAAGGCTTTCACACCCAGGCTTTTAAGCTTTGTTACCTCGGGGACCGACCGGCCCGCAAGCGCTTTAGGCCTCCAAACACCGGACAAAAGAGCCACTGAAGTTTCATCATGAAACGAGAGATTGTGTCAGCCCTAATGACTTACAGAAGGAACGGAGGCAGAGGTTTTTCGTCAGCTCTAATGACTTAGAGAAAGATATAGAGATTTTTCATCAGTAAGAACTTGCAGGAAACAAGAGAGAAGGGAGGGTGGGAGGGAGGGAGACTTAGAGGGAAAACAATGAAGGATTATAGGAGAAAGGGAGGTGGCAGGAAGGGAGAGTGAAGATGATTTCTTTAGACCAAGTGGGAAAATGGAAAAAGAGGGGAAGTAGAAAACATTAGACGGACAAAACGAGTTTTTTCTCTCTAGTAAGAGGCTTTTGGCTTTTTGGCGCTGCACGTCTTATCTAGGCATGTCATGCTGCTTATTCGTTTCAGAATATGATAGTTACTCATAGGCGCCATTTGGAATACTTTACCACGTCAATGAAAAAAAGTTTTAATAAGCAATGTAAAATTGTGGATTTTGTTTTGATAAACCTGCTGGTCTCTCCTGTATCCACTGCAGCCCAGTGTCCCAATTAGATTAGTACATGACGGATCTGCACCAAAAAGAATTCCTGTGACAACTCACTTTTCCTCGTGATTAATTTGCACGTCAGTATATATTTGTTTTCACTATTTGTTGTCATGACTACTTTTACACAGAACGTGAATATTATGAAAACGCGAGATTGATTTTCGTAGACCAGATCCACTCCTTCTGTGTTAACCTTTCACAATAAAATCCCTCGACACATACACTGCCTAACTGTTAACCATGCAGAGAGATATTCACTCAGAGCATTTTACTGGAAGGAAACTCGATAAAATAGCTTACAGTAACTAAGCTATGCGACTATTTAGCCCAGAGAGAATGGCCGACGCCGCTCTGGATCCCTGCCGTTGGTTCTCAGAATATTTGCAGCGCTGATTCATTTTGCTTTTCCATGTCATTTGTTGGTCGGAGTGGTTTGACCTAGATGATAACGTCAGAATGCTAACATGCTAATATTAAGCAGGTACAAATGTCTACCATGTTAACCAGCTTACTTTAGCTTGTTAGCATACTAATATTTGCTAAGTAGCGTGCAATGCAAAGTACAGCTGAGGCTGAAGGGAATGTCTTTAGTTTTGCAGAAATTTAGTCATAACCCAAAAAAAAGCTTTGACAGATGATGGTTCTAGAGGGAAAGTTAAGGCATCACCAAAGTTATTAAAAACAACAAACCAAACCAATGCAAAACATATTGTCATCACCTCTTTTGTGTTTTCGTGTTTATATTTGGGGTGTATGTCATTTGAGTCTCACTGTTGCCACCGAGTAGGTCACTCGGCTGTAGAATAAACATCAGCCGCATTTGTTTTTGAGCTGATATTTCTTCACATCTTGCGATTCTGATCCATGATCCATGTTGCACTGCGCTAGCTTCTCGTGTTTGTGCTGTAACCACACAGGCAGACAACAATCAGTGGATTACTTTCATCCTGAAGAAAACATCTAAACGTGATGATTTCAAGGAAGATCTCAAGTTTTAAAGAGCATCCTTTTTCTATTTGTTCTACACAGACGTCTGACAGAAAAGGTGTCTGTCAGGTTCTAAGAGTGAACACAGAGAGGACACATCCCGTCCACCACCATGGGACAATATGAGCTGCACATCATTTAGAGAAATGTGTTGATGGCAAACAAATTTGGATGGAATTTAAAATCTTGAAACTTTCTTTTTGTACATGACGCTCACTGGCTCTTAAGGATGAACTTGTTGAAATGCATCATCGTCGGTGCAAGGCCGAGGGGTAAAAAAGAAAGGGTAAAGACGAGGATGTAAAGAGAGAGGTGGAAACTGAGAGAGGTTCAGTTTATGACAAAATGAGAAGGAACACTGGACAGATTGAGAAGGACTAATGCAAACTGAAGCGTCTCCGTCTGTGGGTTATTTGATTGCGAGTCGACTGAATGACATCAGACTGTGGTCTGTGAAGGGCAGAGAGAACCCCCCCTATGTGACAGACACAGACCCGCTGGTTAACTTGACATGCAGCTCGGCCTCTCTGCCGTTTTCACTCAGCGGCTCAGAGGGAAATATGGATTCAAAAAATCTGAGAACTCCACTCACCTTTTGTCTTTTCTTTGACCCTTGTGTCTCTCTGCTGCTGCTGCTGCTGCTGCTGCTGCTGCTGATGATGATGATGATGATGATGATGATGATGATGATGATGATGATATTGGTTGGTTTGTCGCCCTGTCAGTCTGTCTGTCCAACACTTTGGTCCAGAGACAGATATCTTGACCTAGACTGGCATGCTTGTGCTGTGGTCCTTCACAGTCAGCAGAGGGCTGTGGTCATTTGAAATGCCCTTAAAATGAACATCTAAACTTTTCCTTTTCAATTAGAAAAGTCACATTGAAAAGGCGAGTGTAGCCTTCTAGAAATGAGCAGCAGACGTTCTTGAACCTCCTTGTCAGCAGTAATCATCATTTTATCATCTTTGCTTGCTGCTTAATTTAAACTGTTCTTTTTCACTGACCGTAGTGGGAAAATGATTATTCTACACTGCTGTTCTATCATTTATTTATTTAGTTTTCATCCGCCCCTCTCTCTAAATGCAGGCACATCTGGGAGCCCAACAGTGTTTGCGTCAAATCAAGTAAACTGCATGAGATCAATGTGAGAAAGATAAGCCATCAAACTGCAATAAAATTCTACCAGGATCCAGTTTCCCATCAGTTTTACGAGAAGCATTTAAAATAAAAAAGTGTAAAAATCATTCCAAAGATATTTTCCCTGTCAGCTTTCTTTACTGTGAACTGAGCAGAAAAAGGTTTGCTGTGTGTGTTTGATGCTGCGGTGGCAGACGTGCTAATCTTTGCAGCTGTCTCTTCAGTGATTTCGTGATTGGCTGAGAACTGAGAGGCTGCAGATGTGCTGTAATCTGAGGATTACTGCAGTCACTGCGGGATTACACCGATTAGTTATGATTACGGCCCAGATCATCTCTAATGTTACAAAATAAAACTGGAATATCTTTTGAATACAGCATTATTTGATATTCTTAATAAGATAGGTAATTTAAAAAAATGAAGAAAATTAAATAAATACGCACATAAATAAAATAAATGTGCGTAAGAAGATATGGTGATGATAAAAATTGTATTATTACAATGCCAATGTGTGTTCAATTTGTAATTGAGTGTATGACGCTGTGTTTTCCTGCTTCAGGGAGCGGTCAGTGAACGTGTCGGAGCCGGAGTCTCTGGAGCTGATGGTCTCCAACCTGAAACCAGAGGAGAGCTACAGCTTCAGAGTCATCGCTTACAACGACGTGGGGCCAGGAGAGAGCTCCACCCACCTGAGGATCACCACCAAACCAGACCGTATGACACACACACACACACCCACACACACACACACACACACACACACACATCTGAATCTGTAATGTGTTTCTTGCTTTGTGTATGGTATTGCTAGGCAAGAGACAGTTTCCACAAGTCATCAACAGCTCCTGCAGCTTAAACTGGGCTAGTTGAACACTTTTAGGGCTGAGTTACAGGGGCAGACTGGGAATGAAAAAAATGGCGGTGGACTTCATCCATCCATCCAAGAGTACAAGTGAAAGTGTTTTGACACATTTGAGGAAATTTGCTCCAGGGAATCCTGGAATAAAGCTGTTGCCGGCATGGAGGCATAAAATTGTTGCTTGTACCGTAATCGCTGATTTAATGCACCACCCGGCGAGCATGCAAAGTGACCCAAATCAGTGCACCAACCATGTTGCGTGACCAACAGGTGCATGTAGCTTTAGCTAACATGCTCAATTGCTCGTGGTGGATCCTCCGGTGGTTATGTTTGCTTCCACCGAGAAACTTTTACCTTCAGTGAGGTGTGTGAGGCGTTTCTGCCTTCCTGAGGCTAACGCCAAGATACAATTTGGAAATCTGGGTAGTGGGTAGTCTTCACGTACACTCAGGAAATTGATTGAAAACACATAAATTACCTTCATATTATTATTATTCAAACCACATATTTTTGATCTATTGGGAGAAACCAAGCACTCCTATGTAAAATCAGATATTCAGCCCCCCCCCCCCATATAGCCAGAATGGAATGATCCTTTGCCACTTTTGTGACGCTTTGACTGTTCTGACCTAAAACAATATTTAGTTTAAAGATGAAATAAACCCAACGAAAACATAAATAAAATAGTTTTTAACGAATTCTTAATTTATGTATGACCCTCCAATTACTATTTGAAAAGCGCTCAATGCTGCGGAAAATGGGCCTACAGTCACTGTAGTGATGGTAGATGCAGCAGTGGAGGGTGTAATATTAGCAGTATCAGTATCTGTGGGGTGTGTGTGAGCAGTGTGTTGTCTCTGTGTGTCTCTACAGTGCAAGTTCCCAGCAGGGTGGAGTCTCTCCAAGCCGAGGCTCTGTCTCCGACCTCGGTCCAGGTGAGCTGGGAGCCTCCCAGCCAACCCAATGGCCCCATCCTGGGCTACAGACTGCTGTGGACCGAGAGCCCGTCTGCCAAGGAACAGGTCAGCACCATCACTGCCTCAGCTGTAACTGTAAAATGTAAAAAAAAAACAGCTCGCTCACATGTGCACGTTGAAAACCTTTGTTCCAGGCTACAACAGAGGAAGTGTTTTCTGAGCAGGCTTAGACTCTGTGGTGTTAAGAGTAAACTCATGATTCTGTTTCATCAAATGATTCTAAAGAGTGTAATTCGATATGGCATACATGTATGGTATGGTCAGTACGTTTAAAGTCTAAACTCGCACGTCTTACTCAAACAGCCAGGATGATCATAGGGAGCAAAAGAACAACACTATCTTCAGCCCTGATATGAAACATCTGTGCTCAGGGAGGCACAGACAACTCTAAATGACCTAACACATATTCATATCTATCCTCCATCAAATGATTAAATAGCAACAAGATACAATTTTATTGGGGACTAATATATTGTGACTTGATTATTTATTATCTGTGATGATCACACCTGGTGTTATTACCCGTTGTATTTAAGCATGTTTATGCATGAGCTTCTGTGTGATCTATGTTCTATGCGTGCATATGGATTTTGACGCTGGCAAGTGTATTGTGTGATGCGGCGGCTTGGCGCCCAAGCCAAACTTCCCTGCGGCACGATAAAGTATATCTTATCTTAACTTAACTGCTCCTCTGTGTTTGTGTTTAGAGTGTGGAGGTGAACGGACTCAACTACAAGATGGAGGGACTTAACAAGTTCACGGAATACACGGTTCGGGTGTTGGCGGTCAACCGCTACGGACCGGGCACCGCCCCGGAGACCGCCAGCGTCACCACCCAATCAGACGGTGAGCTCTGCCTTAACGTGTCACTGTTCACTGTTCACGACGCAGTGACGACAGTGTTCATGTGTGTCTATCAGTTCTCACTGCAGAATAAGGAAAAAGGCAATTGTACCCTTATTAACAACAGCCTTTCGCAACTGTGACATGAACAGAATCAAAATGTTTAGTTATTTATTTAAAGTGAAAACTCTTCTTTTGTTTTATTCTCTCAAAGTCTGCAAGTCTCTACAAAAGATACACGCAATTCAACAACAAACAAAAACACCTTAGTCACATCCACAGCCATATAAGGCTATTCACACCACAGGAAGAGATGGAGAACTGGGTCTACTTTATAACATGCTGAGGACAACAGCAGCTATGGCCCTGAGCAATGATTTCAGTCGGACAATTGGGAAAGATTCTGTCGTGGAGGAAAACATTACCATCATTAATTAGTCATGAATTAAAGATCAATGCATTTAAAACATTTGCAGAGCAACTGCGGTAATATTTAAAGTGGCATTAGCATCTTTAGTTCTTGTATGTTATTGAAGTTCAGGTTGTAAAATATTCACATGGAATTTCAAAGTAAAACTCCTTCAATTATGAATAAAAAAAAATATTGCTGGAAAGATTAAAACAATAATTATGACAAAGTGCAATGGAAACAGAGTGAGTCATTTGTAACTAGAGCTTCTACTGAAGATGAAAACATCAGATCTATGTATCTGTAACCTTCCTTTGGGTTAATTATTACATGCAAGAAGCAGAAAAAGCTGGCTGACTGTGTCATTTACGGTGGAAAATTAATTTCTGGCCCTCACAATACATATTTGTTAGGGGCGGGGGGGAATCGATTCTTGGATGCATTGCGATTCTCTCTTGAAAGATTATGACTCGATGCTGTTGGAAGTGACAAATATATATATATATATATATATATATATATATCTTTTTTTAAGATTTAAGATTCCCTTCAAAATATTGCTGTCGAGGCAATCAGGAAGTGATTGAATATGTTTTGATTGGGGGGGGGCTATACTTTGGTTTACATTTAGACCACAGGCTGGGTCTGTGATAGGTACATCGCGATTTGCATTCAGCTGCTGACTGGAGCTCAGACGGGTCTGTTGTTAATAAACTTCCACACAAGGACATTGAGAGAGAATGGAGGCGTCCGTCCAGCTGCATTCACACCGTAAAAACGATCGGTAATAACACACACACACAGACACACAGATGCAGAGTCTGCATTGTGAATCTTCCGGCTGCGTCTTAATGAGAACAATGACTCGTGTAGCTAATTGAATCCACAGTAAAAGTGACACACAGCAGCTGAATCAACAGATAAGCTTCCGACGGTTAATCAGGCGTCTGGTTGGACGGACGCGGGCCGCATGCAAACCAAAACAACGCTTTGATTCTCAATTTTGAGCGCCTCCGATTGGCGGGACGGCAGAACTACGTGTCCGCGGCCTCTTCATCATCCTGCTCATACTCCTCCCATCTTTCGTCACATTAGTTCTCTTCTTCATCCTTGTTACTGCCTCTTTATTCTTTATTTCCGCTTCCTGTTCTTCACTTTTCCTTTCCTTGTTGCTCTTGTCCTCCCCTTCCTCATCATCGTCTTTATCTTTTTTTTTACTTTTCTTGTTTGTCTTCTCCATCCTCCTTTTTATTTTTCTGTTCTTCTTCTCTTTCTTGTTTTCGTCCTCTTCCCCGTCTTCTCATTCATCTTTGTGTTGTTTCCTTTTCCAGAACCGACTTCAGAACAGTTTGTGTGTTTGTGTGTGTGTGTAATGACACCTGTCATGCGTCCCGTGGTAATCTTGTTTTGCTGCGGTGCCACAGTCAGATCTCGGAGGGCAAATGCGTCGATCCGTCTGCCTCCCGTCTGCCTCCCGTCTGCGCCGATGTCATCATCAGGGTGATTGATTGACAGCAGGTATCTGTCAGCGAACCGAGTCAGCCAAGCACTCAGCCAACGCGCTGACACTAAAGAATGACGATAATGAGTGAGTTCAGGACCAGAGTGCTCTGAGGGAAACAAACTCCTTTTTAGATGAGTTTAGCGTAGCACAGAAACTGGAAGCAGGGGGAAACTGTTAGCCAAGCTCGAATGAAGAAATACACCAGCGACTCAGAAACAGTCTGGTTCATTTATGACATCGATATTCATCTTGTGCGATTCAGTGAATCCCAAAATGTCAGATTGTTCCTTTAATTCCTGAGGTCCTGACTTCACGTCCAGGTTAGCTTCTGTAATCCAACGTCTGTCTGATAAAAAACAAAAAGACAGAAGTTCACTGACCATTATCTAAAAGAAGTCGGCATCCTCTACAGCGCATGCTATCAGACTGTGAAACCCTCGTGTCCCTCTGAACCCCAAAACCCGCCGGCGGGATTTAAACAATCACCAAAACTACACAGCTTCATATCACAGCCAGAAGCTGGAAAAACTCACAATCGTCAGATTTTCATCTCTCTGACGGCCCTCAAACACGTCATGTGTCACAAACGCTTCCATCAGTAAAAGCAGCCGAAAACAAAGCTTCAAATTGTGATATTGTATTCAAACACATTGTATTATACGCTGAGGTCCTCAGCACATCTATGAAGCCATGATTGACTCAGATGAGACCGACAGTCATGTCACAAACATTCTGTGAAACTTGGACTGAACTGCAGGCTGCTGATAACCCACATACTCAGCTGTGCTGCTCATCCCAGAAATGCATGTTCCTTACAAATGGGGCACGGTTTAAAAGGTAACTAAACAGGCTTTCCAACGGTATAAAATTCATTGCCAAGAAGCATTGTTACAACAGAGAAATAATCTACCAAACACTAATTTCCGAACTTTTTGTTCGATGTTTATATAAGAAAATATTATTTTCTAAAGCAACAAAAGAGAACCTGTTGGTGGGGTAACATGAGCAGCTGCTTTTGTCTAACCTAATTTAAATGTTTACACTGTTTTTTCTTTGTCTTTGCAGTACCCAGCGCTCCTCCCCAGAACATCACCTTAGAGGTTGTCCTGTCCAGGGTGAGTTTTTCATTATTTTATTCCCCCCTCTCTCTGTCCACATCTGGACACTGCACAAACAAGTCGCCTCAACAAACTGCTCCATTCATGGTGATATTAACAGTGAAATATTGAAACTTTATCTACTGGAAACTGACATTTTTTATCCAATTTTAAGACAGACTTTTTGAGGTAGTCTGAGCTTGTTATTCCAAATGTTGCCTCCATAAACCATTCAACATGCTGATTTCCCAGGTTTCTCCACCCAACACATTCTGACACACTGTGACACTGTCATCAGTCAACTGTTGCTCTCTGGTGATCTGGCCTCATTGTACTGATGGATGTGATCTACATCCGTATATGATCTACATATGTGTACTGTCCAAGTTGCTTCAGGTGATTAATGTGGTGGAGGACCATACAACATATTTCCATGGTCAAAAACTCCTGTACACCCCAAAAACATATTTTCTTGCCTTTTTTAAAACTCACTGACCTCCACGCCCTCTGACGAAGGAGACAACTGGACCGGGTGTCCTGTGCCATGCAGGGTTCTCCGTCCAAAAGCTTCTGTTTATTATAGTGTATCTAAATCAGGTGCTCAGAAGCGCAAAAAGAAAAAAGAGTACATTTGTTCATTAGTGCCGGTGTGAAACCAAATGACGGCCCACCACTGATACACACACATATATATATATATAAATATATATATATTATTATTATTGTGTGTTTTCCTACATTGTGTGTTTTCCTACAAAAGTCCAGCAACACGTGTAAATTTCAGCTCGTTACATGCATACTGTCTTTTCAAAATGAACTCACATCTTCAAAGAAAACTCAGTTAGGTTTAGGCAAAAAAAAAATTAGTTAGGTTTAGGAATAGATCGTCGTTTGGGTTAAAATAACTACAGAAGTTCCGTTGCTGAAGTAGACAATTTACATGACAAATAAATCAATATTGACTTCTGTAAAATGCAACAATATTTTGTCTTTTGGTCCGGACCAAATGAACTCAACCTTGAGATGTTGAAGTAGCCTTAAAAATATAACAGAAGCTGTGAAGTGCAGAAATAAAATACATATAAATGACCAAAATACTGCTTGAGGTGAAAGGGAGCGGTGCATGCTGGTGTTCTAAAAACAACAGGAAGTTAGTTGTTTGGCCAGTTGATTTGTCCACCTACATGTATCAACACTGTCTGCAGCTGCAGCAGATGCTGTGATGCTGTCGAGGATTTTATGGTCTTTTGGAACCCTCAGTGCACCATTGCCAACAATTTGCGTCCGAAATTACCCATCCTCGGAGTCATAACTCATTGTCAAATGTCAACACACAGACGTAATGCATCCATTTCTAGATTCAGTCAGACCTCCATTGGGGATAGACGTCCATAAATCATCCAAAAATCATCCAAAAAAAACCCACACTCCTTATATCTCCAGAACTTGCCTGAGCATACTCATGTTTCTAGTTTTGTTTAAGTGACAGTTCTCTCGACATAGATGGATGCATTGCAAACAGGAACTGCTTATAGACAGTTTGGCATGCTTTTTATGGTGCCAATTTGCCAAAATGTAGAAATATAGGGTGAAAAAAAAGTGTGGAGATATTGTCTACAGGCCCCTCAGTGACTCAAAAGAAAAAATGGAAAAGAAGAGAAGTTTGATCAACTTTCATTCAAATGAAATTGGTTTCACAGCAGCCATTCAAATACAACAGAAGACATACATAACATTACATAAATATGTAAAACGTAGACAGATGGGAACAAACCAAAACAACCAAAACACACCGTGGGCAGTTGGAGTGACAGTCAATATTAAACTTCTCTAACAGCCAATCACATCAGCTCCTTTCACTCTTCTTCAATTCAATATTACGATACAGCATCCCAGATACACTTTCAAGGGCAGGTCGTGTTGTTTATTTTAGAAGACAACTTCATGTTCTTCACTCTAAAAACATTCCCATCTCTGTTGTCTCTTGACTGCATCGGGTCGTATCAGGGTACATTTACAAGTGCACAGCACTGCGAGTTAGCGATCTGTCCTTTTACATAAACAGAGAGCTCCCTGTAATAATCCTGCTGACTGCACAGATTTTATGCTGATGATCCAGAGAAGGAAATGGGGCTTCGAGATTTGCCAGAAGTATAAAAGTCTGCTGTACTGCAAATGATCTCACTGTCTTAACTTGGCATCTGTGTGAAACCAAAGCAATTACTGTGTGATTGAGGTGTCGGGTCAGAAGAGTAAAATGATAACTGTAAGGATTCCAGAAATGATGCACTTTGAGCAAAACTAGAGGCTGCAGATATGATGCTGCAGCTGATGGTTGAAGGTTTACATTCAACAAACCTCAGGTTTAAACGGCTACATTACATTTAAGTGATGGGATTGTGTGGGTAACCCACTCAGTCATTATATCCAAATTACTGATGATAATTAATCTAAAAATAAATACATTTAAAAGCACCTATAGTCAATCCTACATTGCCGTAATATCAATATCGCCCAGCCCAAAGTGCAACTCTTTTTTTACCCAGTCTTGAGGAACCGATTTTCCACTTGAAAGCTTTGCGAGGTAAAAGAAGTTGTTTCACTTGATCAATTATGGAAATTGTAGGCTGATCGACTGACCAATTCACACCAAATGTGTCCATATCTTTATAGTGTAGACCAACTTTTACTGGAAGATGAGCACTGCTGACGAAGCTCCACTAACACTGTGACAAATACTCCCGCTGGTCTGCCGATAGGAAACGTTTAATGTTAATTAGCAGCAGGAAGCGCTGGGGTCCCATTAACTTTACACAATACAGCTAAATGTGACCAGTAAACGTTAAAATGCAGTAAAGCTGATATCTGAAAATATGAACAGGAACGTAAGATTAAGACTGAAACTCAGTTCAGTTCGAAGAGCTAAACACAAATACTTAGTAATATAACTCCACCACACAGTCTCCAGCACAGCCAACCTGACTGCACTGTATATATATAATTTATCAATTTTTTTTGCAGAGATGCACACTTCTATGAGGAAACCGTGACATTTGCTTTTCTAGCTGGTTGGAGAGAATGGAAACACATTAATCGTGACAACATGGAAGGCACTTTGGGCTCCACAATTTACACATTATGGTTTTCTGGCTCTCCAAGCATTTGTCTGTATTGCCCACACCAGCAGCCAGCTCTGCGAAAAAGCGTGTTTAGTTTTCTCTTTTTATCATCAGGTTGTTTCATCCTCCTCAGAAAGCGGCAGCAGAGAAAATGATAAATGTTTCCAGAGTTGGCTCATAATTTATGAGCATAAAGAGGAGGTTCACACTGTCTCTGGAGAGCTGACCTCATTTAGTTTCTGTTCGCTTATTTTCCTGCATGTGATTGATAATTCTCTGCCGATCGGCTCTCGGGTTGGGCCTGATCAATCAGTGATGTCAGAGTTTGACATTTTAAAGCCTCATGATACCAGCTCAAAAGGCGTCCTCATTTTAGAAATGTTGTCTGATAAAAGTTAAAGTAGCTGAACGCTGAATACCAAACATTCTAAAGCACACACCCTTATTGCTATTTCAATCAAATGTGGATTAATTGTGCAGCCCTGGTTCTGTAGCATCAGACGGGCAGAACTGCAGCTCCACGTCGTTAATTAAAGTAAAACCTAACCATGTGAATTTAAAACAAAAGTACTTGGTTAGGTTTAGGAAAAGGTCGTGGTTTGTTACGTAACATGCATGCCTGTCATTAGTTAAGCATGTAAGTTACGTAACAAAGCTAAGGTAAAAGAAGTCAACATTGACTTCGGGTCTCACATGGGACACAAACAGCGGTCTCCTGGGTGAAAGTCCTGTGTTTGTTTGAAAGATAGTGTTTTTTTACATAACTTAAGTACCTGTCAATAGTTAACCATGTAAGTTACGTAACAAAGCTTAGGTAAAATAAGTCAACGTTGACTTCGGGTCTCACATGGGACACAAACAGCGGTCTCCTGGGTGAAAGTCCTGTGATTGCCTTGTAATTATTTGACCCAACCATCCAGCCTCCATGGCTACTGGAGGTCGGGCGAGTGAGGTCTAACAATACAAGGAGAAGCAGTCTTCAGGAGAAAATATACTTCTCATGTTTGCCTGCTCTCTTTGTGTGAGAGTGTTAAGATCGGGTCCATGTTATCCACTGCTGATGCATTGGTGGCTAAATGGTCAGGCAATTCTCATTCACTGTTCGTTCTTACACCTACGAAAAGTAACGCGCTATAATTTGTATATGAGCCAGGATGTATTGGGTGGCCGCTAAGAAATGTGACTTAGTATAAAGAGAGACAAAGTCCATTGAGAGAGGAGGACAGGTCGGATGCACAGTCTTTCACCCAGGAGACCGCCTCGTGTCGAACCCAAAGTCAATGTTGATTTATTTGACCTCACTTTTGTTAACTTACATATTTAGCTATGTAAGAAACAAACCCATTTTAACCCAACGATTTTCTCCTAAACCCAAGCAAGTCATTTTGTTGCCTAAACAACAGCTTCAGTACTACAGGGCCTGGTTCAGGCGCACTAATCGCTGGTGTTGCTGGACTTTCGTAGGAGAACACATGATAAAGGAGCAATAACGTTAGATATGTTGAAATGTATACTGTATATACTGTACGTTGCAATATTGTTTGCTGAAAGTTGTCAGAGATAGCAAGTATGAAAGCAAGTAGACAAGTACTCTTAGCTGAAGCCATAGTGCTGAAACTAATTGTGGTAATGTTGCTGGATGAAGTTAAATATATCTAAGCGTTAGCGCTTAACAGCAGATTTTGTGCTTTTTAATTGAAAAATCTATAAAAAACTGCATGTGATCTCTTAACTGTGCTGAACTCCTGCTGCTTCCTGATCAATGCTAGATTGCTACCCACAGTCAAGTTGTGTGTGTGTGTGTGTGGGGGGGGTCCAGCGTTGGTTAGTTTCTCTGCAGCTCACTGCAGAGGAAATGTGAATCTTTCTGCTCTCTTCAAGTTTCCGCTGTCAAACCAA